GTAGAGGAGAATTGTTACTGGGTATGACTACCAGATTTTGCCCGATGACCCTGAGTGATGGAAAGAAAAAAGTAGATTGGTTCAAACCTGGCCTGTGGTCCAACATTCCATTTTACTTCTCTTTTTTTCCCACACTGGGCATTCTTTTATCTTTTTTCATCTTTTCTTATTTATTCTTTTTTTCTGAGGGGTAATGGGGTACCCTGTGGTGCTCAGGAGAATGGTGTTCAGAAAACCACGACCTGCCAAGGCTCGCCAGTCTCCTGACTGTCAAACATGCTCAGATTGTTAAGTGATCTCTCTGGCCCCACACTGAGCTTTCTTTGTTTGTTTGGGGGCTCAGGGATTACTCCTGGCTCTGCACTCAGTAAAATTTCCTGGCAGTACTATATGGGATGCTGGGGAACAAACCTGGGTCGAATGCATGAAAGGCAATTTCCGACATGCTATACTACCTCTCAACTCCACACTGGGCATTTTTTATTTTTTCTACTATTCTTAGCCAAGTGCAGAGTTGTAGGTTAATCTCATCTGAGTTAGCCAATATTTAATATAATTTCCATGTTAGCATCACATCCCTTTTCTGCAATTCTACTTCTGCTTGAGCAAGAAGGCCAGTGTTTCTCGGTATCTCTCTCCCTCTATCTGAGAAACTATTGTTCTTTCCCTGGCCATAGATGGAACTTTCCTATATCTGACTATCAGGCCTGCTTGGCTGACTCTTCCACAGAGTAACCCATCTACCCCTCTCAACACATACTTGCTTTAACCAGCCTCAGTCTTTCAGCATTGACCATTATTCTAGATTCCTCACATGAGGCCTGAGGCCTGACTGAATCTCAAGGTTTAAGAAAGAAATGCACAATCACTGTGAAGATTTTAAGCAATAGAGTAACATATATCAGAGGAAATCGTTCTTTTTTGAAGAGGTAAGATGAGGGCACTTTTACCCTCCTTGTGAATGTTTAAGAATTTATAAAAATATTCTCAATTGAACACAATCAAAAAGCCTTTTAAGCATGTTGCTTTTATAGAATTAAGAACTGATAACTTAATTATTTTGTGAAAAGAGTACTTTTCAGGATATCTATTGTTATAATAAAAATTTAATATCCATTATATTGCTAAGTATCATTTTAACTCAAAAATCTGTGGAAACACTTGGAAGAACTTGGAGAATTAAAATTTCTAGATAATTCAGACAAACAGGGACCATCACTGGTCACAGGAAAGACATGTGTTTATTCTTTAACAATTAATCATAGGCCACTAAACCTTGTTGATCTTTGGATACAATCTTAGGTTACAGGAAAGCAAAGAAGCCTTTGGAGTGGGGAACAAGAATCATAACATATACCATGTTTTCACTGTGTTGAGATGGCTTACTGGTGCATTCAATGAGGGGTTAAATGTTCATTTCCTAGTAGCTTCTTACACGCCACAGTTTTAAAATCAAGAATCACCTCAAAGATAAGGTACTGAATTACAATTGGCATAAATATGTTACTTATAATTATAGATCATCATATATTTTCTGTATAGAATTGCATACATATATTTGTATGTATGATTAACACAGCAGTCTAAAAAATTATGCTCATAAAAAAATAAACCTTCCACCGGCAACCCTGTCAGGAAATGTCAAGTTAAAAGTTTAACATTATGCCTCGGGCTTTAGCACTTTGGACCATGGACAGACCAAAAGAAAAGTAAATCCCATAATCAATGTGTGTTTGGGTTCTATCAGTAGGATCTGGTTTTATGCTAATTATTGTGACAGTAGAAGGGAAAATACATTATCTAAAGGAATCGTAAATGTTGTTCCAGTCTATTAGGATCTGAAAGGAATTGACAAATTAGCTGTTTAATTCTAATTTTTTAAATTCTTCTTCATGAAATAATTTAAGTCTAGCTGCAAAGATTTTCTTTTCTATTCCATATGAAAAATATAGTGTGACAAGATTTTATTCATGTAAAGCATTGTTATTACAGTTGAATGAACATATATTTAAAATTCAATGTGTTCTATTGACTGAAAGTTAAATACACAAAAAGGTATATGAATCTGGGCTTCTGTCCAAAGGCACCAAAAGACTATTGCTGGTACATTCAAATTATTAATTGACCCAGAGACTTGTGAAAATAGCCAAGAAAAGCATCATCTACATCAAAGCTGGGTGCTTGTGTGTCTCTCATATATTTTTCCTGGTATAAACTGTTACTTACCTGTGGATAGAAAAGACAAATCTGAACGACAAAAATATATTACAAATTTTAAAGAAAAGCAAAAACAGAATAGCTAAGAACAGGAGTCTTCATTTGTGTGTCTCTGGATCGTTGCTCTGTCGGAGCTTAAGAAGACGGTGGCCGGATGTGGCGTCATCTCAGAGTCCCATCTGGGTGGGGGAAAGGAGAAGGGCCCGATCCTCCCCTGTCCCGTGAGGCTTGGGATTTGCCACCACTGCCACTTGTATCTGGAGCTTCTCCCTGACTTCTAGAAAATGATGGCTGCTGGGACTCCTAGAGGGCAGGCGAAAGGACAGCACCAGCAACTGCCCCAGTCTGGAGCAGCCCAGCGAAAACAGCCAATTGCTAGTCCAAAGCCGTCTCTGCAAGAAGTTGCTTGGGTCCGAGATTCATTTGTGTGTCCAGAGCAGGAGTCTTCTTTTTTAACCTTTATCTTATATAAACTTAGCCTTGAAATCGTTAGCCAATCTCCTAAGCCTCATATTTCTCTGTACCATTAGCACCATCTCATTTTTCTCTATACCATTAGCATCATTGCAACACTGACCTCACCTGACTGACCTGCCCAAAAAAGGGAGATGTGGTTCACCATAGCACTTCCTCTTCCTAGGAACTCAGGAAGATTCCCTGTTTTCCCAGCCTTCCTTGTATTAAGACTGGGGTTCATTTGCCTAAATTTTGCTAAGAAAATAGAAATGATTTAGTAATTTCAAAAATAGTTTAATAAATTCAGTGAGAATTTATAACTCTCTCTTCTTGTCCTGAGACATGATTAGCAGCCCGACTTGAGCAGGAGCAGCAATAATATATGAAAGCAGCATTGTTGTCTTTGTCATCACTTGTAGGAGAGCCTTAGAACAACCAACATTATCCAAGCTTGGTCAGCAAGTTGTAAACCGTCTTTTATAAATCTGCTACAATTTTAAAGTTTACTTATTATGACACCATAATAGTTTATTCACTAATAAAAGGACTAAATGAGACAATAAAATGTACTTCTGTTATATAGCAACGTGTTATACAGGGATCATTAGTAATGGTAATGGAAAGCTTGTGAAAATTGTAATAACTTTGAAGTTCTTTTTACATTTTTACCATTGCATTAGCAATGTAAAGACTTCCTGAAAGGTAGAAAGCCGTCACTATAAGTAAAGCACAAATTTACTTGAGAAACTAGAGCTGTTTCTGCCTTTAGCATATAAAGGGTATATAGTCGCATGTAAATTTTAAGAAGCATTTCAGATTAAGTGTTTGGACAACGGAGACCCCATAGTCTACCTTAACTTAAATGAACTGAGTTAATGACACTGAGTTATTTCTACTAGTGCATGGAAATATTTAAAATCCTGCCCCAAGGTGAAGTTAAAAGGCAATTTAGAGTTTCTACTTTAAAATAAGAAATAAAAGGAAACTCTATCAGTCTTTAAATTTTATACATTATCTCTTTTCTAAACTACATTTTAAAAGAACAATAAATTGCTAAGTTTTTATGAATAATACAATTTTGTACACAGTGATATTATCTAAATCACATAATCAAGTGTTACTTATATAGAATTGGGGTAGTGTGTAGAAATTCCGTTTGAGAATGTGAAAAGAACTCAATGTACTATTATGATTATTTTGGTGGTGTCAAAATTTTAATCAAAATAATTAGTAAATCAATAAATTTTCCCCTTTCGGCACTTTTGAAGGGATATTCAAGTCAATGAGAATTGTTGATTAAATACAAGAGAGTCACATCAACTCAGCTTCTCCTTATTGGATGATTACTCACTATTACTGCACAAATATCATTAACAAGATTGAAAAGATTTGTCTTAAAACCAGAAGGTAAAAAATCTATTCAAAGGAGCTAAAAATATTTCTTAAATTTAATTTTTAAATGCTGCTTTCAAAAAATCAGACATGTATTTTATAGCAATCTTGACATCTCAACTAGTGCATAAATGAATTTAAACCTGTCAATGACCTACTTTAATGAAAGAAATCACAGTCATTTTAAATACTTATAATTTACCTTTATAATATCAAGTTGCAAATTTTAGAATCAAAAGTTAGAAATTATGATGAATAACTGCATTTAGCAAAATCAACCATGTAAAAGAGGACAGTAAAGTATGTACTTAAGAGAAGTAGAAAACTTTGCCAATTCTTAAATTTCTTGTCATTGCCCAATTTTACAGCATATCTTACTATCTATTTCATCTAGAAAATAAAAAGACAGAGCAAGAACAATATGAAAAGAGGAAGATTGAGGGAGTGAGGCAAGAAATCAATATATTCAGTTGGATCTTAAATTAAAAAGACAGTAGGATGGGACTAAGAGAGTTTTAATGTTCCAACTTGAAAAAAACCAGCATTTACAGGACTTTAGTATAAAGAATCCTGAGGTCAGGAATCTCTCCCTTTCTCATCTTATTTTGATCACTTTCCTCCCTAAACAGGTGAGAATGAAAAGCAAAGTGATATAAGTGCTTACTTTCAATTGCTTCAAGTATAGATTATCACAAAGGTAAAAATAAAGTTTGACAAGAAAATAGTATCCCATATTAAAAGAAAACCCACTTAAAATAAAACTTAGGCACACTTAAGGCAGTATTATTAAAGTTATTTTCTAGAATAATCATTTTTGTGATGTTGCCTATAGCTAAATCAATTTTCCTTTAAAGTAACAAAGAATTTAAAACATATCAGTGTGGTTTTTGTAGTAATAAAGGAGTATATTAAGTAAAATGATATTCAGGACTTACCACCTCCTCCTCCAAGAAGACTGGCATTTGCTGTTTAAAACAAACAAATAAAAAAAATTAAATAACATAAAAATATAGTATACCAAGGTAGCGTAATAAAAAGCAGATAACAATCATATTTTTACATAAGCTCACAATATGTACTTTCGTGTATAAAAAAAGATTTACTCAGATGATATGGAAATATATGGAAATATGTACATTTTTGTTTGGTTTTTGGTTGGGAGCCACACCTGGCAATGCTCAGGAATTAATCCTCGTAGTGCTCAGGGGACCATTTAGGTGGCTGAAGATTGAACTCCAGTTGACTGAGAGTAAGTCAAGCACCCAACAAAATATTTAATACTGTAATTTTTTTATCTGAAATGGCAACTTTTACAATGTGCTTCCCATTTTTTTGTGTGTGTTTACTAGTTAGGGGGTCACTTGCCGCGGTGTGCAGTGCTGACTGCTGGCTCTGCCATCTGGGGCCTGGGGGACTTAGGAGATCATCTATTGCAGTACTAAACCCAGGTCAGCTATGTGCAGCCAAGTGCTTTACCCACTATGCCACTGCTCAGGCCCATATTTTGTGAATCCTTTAATTATAATGAAGTACATATTGCAATCTTTTCACTTCCCATTCTTTATCTATCTTAATCATTGAGCTTCTTTTTTTTACCAATTAGAGAAAGAACAATTTATTCTATTCCACAAAGTTTATTCCACAAAGTTCTGTATTTCACTGGCATTATCTCATGATGATAATAATAATAATAATAATAATAATAATAATAATAATATTTGCAGCCGCACGGCATCTTATCATCTCATTCTTACTTTGGACAACCTGGCAGGCTACCGAATGTAACCTGCCCACATGGCAGAGTCTGGCAAACTCCCCGTGGTGTACCCAATATGCCAAATACCAGTAACAATGATGGGTCTCATTCTCCTAACCCTGAAAGAGCCTTGAATATGGCACTTTTTAAAATCTCAGGGCTAGGACAAAGGAGACGTTACTGGTGCCTACTCGAGGCAATCGACGAACAACAGGATGATCGTGATCGTGATGGTGATATCTCATGCCACTATATAAAATGAAACAAAAATAAGATAAAATTAAAGGAAATCATGTAACAATATAAATAAAAAGGCCCTCCCGTTGATCGTCGATTTGCTCGAGTGGGCCCAGTAACGTCTCCATTGGAGACTTTGTTGTTACTGTGTCTGGCATATCGAATACTCTCGGTAGCTTGCCGGGCTCTCCGAGAGGGGCGGAGGAATCGAACTCGGGTCGGCCATGTTGGCCGCATGTAAGGCGGACACCCTACCCACTGTGCTATCGCTCCAGCCCAACAATATAAATAATATGTGTGAAAATTAACATTCTTTATTTAGTCAGTTTCAATAATTTTAAATGACACTGTATAAAAAGGCTTAAGAACTAAATGCCATTTTAAAAAGTAATCTCAAGGTACCACAGCAAGTACTAACTCTTAAATAGGAGTTATAATTATGTTTTGCATTAGCTTTTCATTGAGGAAAATAGGTTTTAATTATCTTTATAAAACAATGCTGTGCTATTAAGTATCCATTTTTCACTAATCTAACACATTCACTGATAACAAATGATAAGGAGAATGTAAAACAATTCCATTTGAAATTCAGAAGTCAATTTTTCAGACGTATCTGGTAAAAGCTCCTGACAAAATTTATGAAAACTTATGTCTACTTTATCTAGTCATTGTAACTGCCAGAAAATAAAAATCAATAGATAATGCACTGAGTTTATACCACAAAGTTGTGTCTCACTCATACATACACTGTATGTTACAATATAGAGAGTATGTGTGAAAACTAACACTGTTTATATTTGTGTGTGGCACAACCCAGGAAGGATACAATAAATAATTTCAGAAGAGGATAAAGTTGCTCTGGCAGAAATTTTAGTGGATGTCCACAGACAATTCATTAATAAGTGCATATGGAATGTCAACGAATCCATCAGACAGTTAAATAATGGGTCAGTTTTGAGTACAAGAGCCAGGAACTGGAGAGAATACAGTGAGTATGATGCTTGATTTGTACATAGCCAACCTGGGATTCAATCTCTGGAAAGCCATATGATCGATCTGCTAAGCTGAGCCCCACCAGGAATGATCCCTGAGCATAGAGCCAGAAGTAAGCACTAAGCTCCACCAAATATGGCTCCCCAATGAAAAGCAGAACAAAAATGAAAAATGGCCCATAGGTAAAATAGTTTCCATGAGGAACATGTGCGATGCCTTGCTGCAATGTTACAGAGAATATAATGAAAATGTAAAAGAGCAAATAACTTTGAAAGTTTTTTTTCAAGATACTAATAATAGAGTATGAAATCTTTTCCACGTACAGGACCATCTAATTGCTGTTTTTGCCTTTCAGTGCTTTTATCATAGTATGGACTGATTAGCAATGTCACTAATAAACTGTAAACAAAACTCATTGGTGTCAGAATGTCTTCTGCTACCCTATCATCTCAGATCCCTAAACCTCTTCACAGTACAGAGGTGTATGTAGTGCTTTCTAGTGTTTAATGTCCTGTCAAACATCAAACTTGGTAAGTGTGGATGTAGTAATTCTTTACAGGGGATGGAGCAAATTTGTTGTGAATTCTATTGTGATTACATTGTCCTTACTGGATGGGGAAACAATGATCACAATTGTCTTCTGACTAATCCAAACACTTTCTAGCGCCACAGAAATAAGTAAGGGGTGAAATGCTTGCTTTGCCTGTGGCTGACTGGTTGGAATCACTGGCACCACTTCCGTAGTCTCTAGAGTACTGAAGGGACTGATACTTCAGCACAGAGCGTGGAATAAACCCTGATCATTGTTGGCTGTGGCCTCCACAGACACACAAAACAAAGGGGAAAAAATCACTTTCTAAAACCTTACTACATGAATTATAGAACCACCTGGCTTTTCACACTGCTGCTATTTAAAAAAAAATGGATCTAACTGAAACCTTCTTCCCTATCTATCTGTCAGTGATCCAGATCCCTGATGCTCCATTTTCTGTCTTCCAATTTTCACACATAAAGTAAAAGAAGGCATTCCAGTAACAAATGGTAACACTGAATAGTAGTTTTTCATCCAAACCATTATTCTCTCAAACACAACAATAATATGTATTCTAATTTTTGTCTCTATTTTTCTCAATAAAAGTGGACATCTCCTATTTTGGGAGCACAGCCCAAGGCCATCTGTTCAACCAGTAGATGTAGGTTGAGTTGAGAGTAGGTGTAGAATCTAGAATTGCAATCCAGAGAACCATCAAGTCACTTTATATCAAATGTTTGCTCATGTTCAGATCAAAGCAGATCTGGCTTCATCAATATAGAACTTATTTTATTAAAGTGTGGCATTCTTTTATATGGTACCCAATATAAATTAATTCATGTGTATTAATTTATACCTTAAAATAATTTCATGTGTAATACCACTCATGCAATGGAACCAGTCAAAGCTACATAAGCAGTCACAGGAATCCTAAAACTGATATGACTTATCTAAAGAATCTCTCAAATAGAAATATATAAGCATGGCAAGAGACCCATGATATATTCAATATGCCAAACACAGTAACAAGTCTCACAATGGAGACGTTACTTGGCCCACTCGAGCAAATCGATGAACAATGGGAGGACAGTTCTACAGTGCTAAAAAACATAATTTTGTAAGTTGAAAGAACATAACTTTTCTAAATCAAAAGTAACATCAATGCAGACAAGTATATATAAAGCACTATTATGAGTTCTAATATCACTTTACCTTCACAAAGTTCCCTATACATATATACCTGACTTAGCTTTTATAGTCTGGTGAATTAATATTAGTTATTCTATTTTATAAAAGTTAACAGGACTGTGGGGTGTCTACAATTAATACTCATTTAACTTCTATTTGATCATTTTCAATCAATTGTGCTATATTCCAATTAATTGGAATCCTTTAAAGACAAAACCCAAGTTTAATAGTTGAACTGCATCTAATAAGCTCTCAATACATATTTTCTAATAGTGAGTTAATTGGAAAATTTAGTCCAATTTCTTTATTGACATATTTGTTTAGCGAAGTGTGTAGAAATAAAAAGCTTTGATCTTTTTTCCCCAGAAAAATCAAGGTCTATTGAAGAAACCTTTACATTTGGAAGTTCTTGGTGATTAAGAATATGTCAAATAAATTTCTATATGTTGCCCCTACAGAAGTTGTTTGCTAAAGGAAATTTTAGACATGGAGTAATCTAAAATTCACAGAAAAAGAAAAGAAGAAAATACATTTAAAAAACCTTAAAATTTTTGAACATGATTCCAGTTCTTCTACTATAAGATTTTAAGTATCTTCTCTAAACAACAATATTTTTCACTCATGTTTACCTGAACAGAACATCCCTTTTACTGAGCCAGAAAAAACAAATCAGTGGTAAAGTGCTTGCCTTAAATGAGACCTATCCGATTTAATTTCTGACATAGCATATGCACTGTAAGGAGTCATTCCTGAGCACAGAGTCAAGACTAAGCCCTAAGTACTGTTGGGTGTACCTTCATACTCTTTGCCTCAAAAAAAAATTCACTTACTCCACCAAAATATAAATAAAATAGGAAAAAAATCACTACTTACACCTAATTCAAAATTGTGAATATGGCAATTTAAACACTTAATATTTATAGATGATGCTTTTTTCTTCTACTTGAACTCAGTTTACAGCTTTCTAATTGAAATCATCAAATCACTACAAGTTAAAATATCTATTTTAACATTATCAAGACAAAACTAATGAACAAATAAAGCAGACTAATAAGAACAACAAAGTTGTTTAAAAGAGAGTATAAAATATTCCAATAAAGTATGGAAACAAGACTTTTTATGGCAAACATATGTAGCTTATATAGATGTTGCTTTGTAATGTGGTATACATGAAATATACATAACATTACAAGCCAATGTCACAGCAATTAAAAAATTAGAAAAATGCCAAAACTAAAAGAAAAGTGAATACAATGTAG